GATATGTATATGATCAAGATACAGTTCAAAAAATGAATAAAAAATTACCTAAAAAGAATAAAGTGAAACACATAATACAATTGATTTATTTAAAAATAGGTTTTTCTTGTGTCAACGGGGCCAAACCTATATAATGATGAACTTATTGTGATGAGAAGACGGTTCGGGCATATTTTCATTGAAATATAAGGGAATAGCTAATAAAAATTGTACTCTACTCAAATCTCTGAAATATTTCATTATCAGGTTGATAAGTATCCATGTTTAGACTCATTTAATTTTACATCCTAATGTGTTGAATTGTTAGATTAGCGTCTAGATCAGGCTCTCCAGATAGTCTCTTACATTTAGTCTAATATAATCTAAAAATTCAACAAATCAGGACTGAAATTGGAAAACTAAGTCCAAGAATTGATAATTACTTTGTCTATGAAAACTAAGTCGATAACTTTCTATTCTCGCTAGAGGGAAACACCGGAAATTCATTTTTATTCGGCTCACGCTTAGGGTTGGGAAGAGTTTTTCGCTGAGCTCTCTGTCTGTGCGCTGCGTCGCACAGTGGATCGAGTCAATAGGAGAGGTCGGACAAAATTTGGAAACGTTGAACGCTGATCAAAACTACAAAACTACAAAAACAAAAACACAAAACATACAAACAAAACTATCTATACAAAACTTTGAGGTTTCAAAGTGGTTTCATTGGTTCCCTGGTGAAATTTCCTTCTAGAGGCACCCCTTTAAATATAAAATGCGACGAAATAAACACCAAAAGTTGGAGTTTTCGTGAAAAATTTCGTGGCCGACTTCTTCTGAAGACTCGATCCACTGTGCGGCGTGGCGTGTTGGATCGAAGGCTCCGAAGCATCGCGTGTTGCTGCTATTCCGGGCGCCCCGCTCGGGTGCGGGTGCGTCGCCGTCTCGTCGACCATGTGCTGCAGGTTGCCTAGCGAGAGCGGTACACGCCCTTATCCCGTTGCCATGGCGACAGGGTCGATTGATCGTGGAGCCGGCGCCGGAGTGGCTATGTTCCGCAGGTGATTCACGCACCTCTTTCCCCTCTTCAAAATGATCGCGCCCCCGGATGCCTCGATTTTATTTCCCAGCCGTTTTTCCCTTTTCCCGAGCCCGACTCCCATGCAGCGAGTAATCAAGACATTTTCCGGGCTCTTTCCCCAGTTCAGTCGCAAACCATGCTTATTAGTATAATAATACATCACAGTCCGAATGAGGTTCTTGCATGCGGCGAGGCTTTACAATTAAACCATTCGACGGCGTAAGTCCGCAATCACATATCTCGTTTGCGGTGTCTGAAACTCTCCGCCTCCATGTTATTTTTTTAAAGGAGAACAAATTGACATCATTCCTTGAAGTTTATGCAGAATTTTTTTCGCACAGAGAAGAGAAATCACGGCAGTTTTAAAGAATTGCCGTTGAGTAGTTTTCCGTTTAAAAAATAAAGTATGACAGGAAGTTTGCGACGCGTCGCAAACCGAGTCATGTCACTGCCGACTTAAACCGTCGATTTGCTCCTGGGCACTATCACACATTGGTGCCAGCGTGGCTCTCTCTAGAGTTGGATTGCATTTTGCAAAAAAAGAACCATGAGCATTCCAATAGCTAAGATTGTGCAACATACATTCCTTGAAATAAAATTTCTGAAATCATGCAAAAAATCAAATTTACAATCGTAAATTTCGTCTTAAATTTATAGATTATTGGAGTATAGATGGAACTTGTTTAGATGACCAGTTGATATTTGCGACGTAAAAAAATTTGCACAATCTGAGCGACATTGGAATGCTCTTGGTTCCTTATTGCATAATGCAATCCAGTTCATTGGCATCCAAGAGCGGATCATCGCGAGCTCCCTCTCACGCTATAGCGCCTTCAATTTTGCAGACGCAACACGGACATCCATCAAACATGAATAGTTGTATCCCAGCGCCGTCATCAACGCGCGACCTTTTCCTTGCTCTGTTTTCACGTTGTGTTGGTTCCGTCTGTCTTATTTGTAGTAGTACTTCAAAGGCTATGTTAGCAAAACAGCCGAAGATAGGAGCGATGTAATCGGGCTTTTTTTTTTTTACCTTTTCTCTCGAATTCAAGCGACACCTCACTATGACAGCATAGAGCGGAGCGTTGCGAGTTCATGCATCGCGCCTTCAAGTTTGCAGATACGACACGGACATCCATCAAGCACGATAAGTTGTATCTCTGCGCCGTTAACAAAACGAGTCGTTTCTCTTACTCTGTTTTATATGCTGGGCTGGCTCCGGTTTGTCTTGTTTGTATCGGTACGTAAAAGGTTACGTGAGCGACACAGCCAAAGTGCAACTTGGATTGCATTTGTTGGCCGAACCAGTTATCGGGTAAAATAAATTGGGTGAAGTGTCTATAGCTGCCGTTTTTTCCAATTCTAGGGAAGCGCGTCAATGACGCTGTAATGTGTGAGATTAATGCAAATCTAGCCTGAAAATTACAGAAATAACGAAGTTTTTTCTTCGTTCTGCAGAATCATAAGTTTGCAGATATGTGGTATGGTTCCACCGATATATCTAGGATTTATAAACCTCATAATTCCTATTGATTTATAATTCATTACATAGTTCTGTATTTTCGGATATAAGTACGTTTGTAGTTAATGAATTGAAAGACCGGGTTACGTACAATTGAATTTATTAACTGAATAACTTAAACTTATTTTCAATTTTCACATGTATAAAAAAGCCTACTTAAAACACAATAAAACCTCAAAGAATTCAGTAATATACATATAGAAAAATGTTTAAAATAACAGAGAGGAATGGAGACGTTCCACCTAACTAGGTTCCAAATCTAGGGGAGTATCGGTTTCTGTACTGGTAACTATGGTTAGGGTTACCACCCACAAGACAGCCTTCAAGTTTCAAGATGATAACTTTTAGCCCACCATAGAGAGGGTCCCTATCAATTATAGGTCAGCTTTTCTATCAAAGCCTCTACTTCCAGAGCTTTTGGGGGCTTTAGAGTTGGTTGTAGAGGAAATTAGTGGTCCTGTTGTCTCTCTCACGAAAATTTACTGTGAGTTAAATGGTTGAATCTAAAAACCCTGCTGCATGCAAGAATTCTATTGAAACTTGGACTGACTTGGCAATAAAAGGAGAAGTAAAATGTGCACATTAAAGTCCACAAGAACGCCGATCGTTCATTACAAGAAACGTATAATTAAGGATAATAACAAAACGGCTTACCAAATGTTTCTTACCGTTGTGCTTCTTCCTTAGTCTATGAAAATCAAGCTGAAATAAGTTAACCTTAGTATTCGGAAATATGATTTCAATCGAGGAAGATCATTTTTCGACAATGCGAACGTTATCTGAGGCTATCCGAGTCAACTTGAAAATAAAAACAAATCGCGACTCCGTATTGATTAATTTTCCTTAACAGGCTTCTAGAGACGATATGAAATTAGATGCCATTAGATATTTCCGTATCAAAATATTACTTGTAATAAATAAGCTGACATTAAAATTTTCCAAATTTAACTTGATACAGTGAGAATTTAGTGTTTTTTGTGTTCATCAGTTCGATATTCCCGCTCACAAAGAAACCAAAGTCTTGGACCCTTTGGATAGAAATACGTCCTGTACTGCCGTGCTAAGGAAGGACGCCGTAGGGACATTCGAGAGTTGCCAAATTTCCCTCGATAAAATGTTCATTTTCGAGGAAAGTCATGAATATTTTTCCTTTAAATTTTCAGGAACTTAGGTGAAATTGCGACCAAAAGTATCTGACAAATTGGCAAGAAAATATTCATAAGTTTACCGGGAAATTCCGGTTTTATCAAAGGAAATTTGGCAACGCCTGGAGGTTCACACGGCATTTTTCCTTAGCACGGCAGTGTAGGTGTTGTAACACCACAAATCTCAGTTTTTTTGATTCGTACGTTAAAAAAGGCACAAAAACCCACGAACATCATCAAATAACAGATCACATTTTGAATCGCCTTAATGTACAACACCTTCCTGATAGGTGCGTTTTGACAGAGGGCATCTGCATGCGTTACTGAATGAATTAGAAAGATAAATGCGTGAAGCCGTAACGAGACTGTAAACAAGCTTAGGGGTGACAAAAGCAAAGGAGGATGGCTTTAAGGCGGAGAAGCCCTGCTCATGCCACAGGCTTCTTCGTCGGGTCGGTTTTGAACTTGAGGGGACTGGGAACCGTCGCGTCGCGCCACCGCACCTCCACACTTCATTACCACAGTCACGGTGACGCACCATTGGCCAAAATAAAACGTGTTTTGGCACAAAAAAAGAATAAGAAAATTGCCCGAGGCTATCATCAGTACAAGTTCTCTGACCCCTTAATTTTTCATTTTTTTTCTCAGTTCATTTTACCGTTCTACTAGACTTTCCATTATTTTTAGGGCTACCGAGGGATGATATTCCCAAGGAGTCAGCTCTTTTCAGCTTTTGGAAATATAAACCGGGTTATTCTATAAAACTTTGGGAGTGGAGGGGGAGATCAGACGGTGTAATCTGCCCGGTGATTTGTGGGAGGATCGATTCCGATGGCGATTTGGAGTCGCAGAGCGCTCTAGTGCGCTGAGTTAGCGGCTTGATTTGTATGTATTATATAAAACTTTACTTTTAGGGGAAATGGAAGCTTCCCGCCATTTTTTAAAAAAATTGAGAGCATATAATGGACGCTTTCAAATGACCTCTATGGCTACGATCGAGAAATAAGTTTCTGAAAACTGAAACATTTTTATGTTCAAAAACATAAATATAGCGAAGAACTGCAAATTACATTGAACAGAGCATTGATCATCGAAGTAACGGAAAAATGGAGTTTAAAAAAAAATAAAAAATGGGCATTACCTCAATATTCACGTTCCGTGCGAAGCACGGATGGACAGATAGTTTAAAAAAAAAAGAAGATCCAATGGGGAGTTGCATGAAGAGAAGAGTATAAGAAAAGAAGGGGGTAAGTTACCGTAGAAGTTGACAAATTATTACTTGAATGCATTGCAAGCTCTGAATTTTCTGGAAGACGTCGCGACAAGTGCCTCCACAAAATTTTCATCGGGAAATTTCATACTGCCTAGAAAAGAATATAGGTTCTCGCGATAGATTTTCGAGGTAATTGTTCACGAGTAATTCAAGTTTTATAATTATTAGCACTGGTTTTTTCATATTACATCCCACCAGAAAAAAAATTTCAGATGTTAGAAAAAAAGAAAGGGGTATAGTACGAAAAAAACCATGGTCTATTCCTGCAGTGCATATACTTTACGAGATTGTACATCAAGATTCATGCTGAGATGTGGGAAAATTATCTGCTGAAGTTCATTACGAATGAAGAGTAAACATGTTCTGTATTTCGTCATGCCATCACACATCGTTTAACTTTTATTAATTTCATGCGAAGTCACGAGCGCATAAGCTTGTGGATTTTTCAGCAGTCGTTGGTCCAATTCGTAAATTCCCAAACCTTCCTCTACTCGGGAGACGTTCTTCAGCATGTCAGCCAGCATTTTCTGACCCCTTACTTGCTCCATCAAGAAGTCATCCAAAAAGTCGGTCATGTTGATATCGTTGTGTTTCGTAGCAAGTCCGCTCAGATCTAGCAGTGACTGCAGGGAAAGAAAGAAGATAAGCATATGTAGTCAGTCAGGGCCGGATTTACGCGCTTGCCGCCCATGGGCCACCTGTATTTTGCCGCTCCCTTCTCATTCTTTTTGAAATATCAATACAAACCATCAAGTGAAGTACCGGAGGGGGAGGGGGGGTGCATAAGACGTGTTCACTCGTGTTGGACACATTTTTTGCGAAAACCCTGTCAACACTATTAGCAAAAGTTCACGGAACTTTGCGCGATGGTTAAGTTCCGTAAACCTATCTCTGTATGGACAAGGCCCTCCATTTATAAGAAATGAACCAAAAAATTATGAAAGAACAAACATAAATGTAGTTTGATAATTTTAACTTCCGCCGCCGCGCGCGACGCGCTGACCGCACTGTATTTGGCGCAATGCGTGAAGTATTTCTACAGTCTTACATGCGCTATGCGTTTCATGCCAACCGCTGCTGAACGCACTGTGTTCGACGCAATGCGTGAAGTATTCATGAAGTCTCGTAGGCGCTATGCGTTTCACGCTGACCGCGCTGTTTTTGACGCAATGCGTGAAGTATTCATGCAGTCTTGCAGGTGCTAATATGTGTTACATGCCGACCGCCTCGCTGAGGACTTCTCCTTTTCATCTCAAGTCCTATTTCATCATCAAGTCCTATTCATCATCATTGCTCTCTGCGCCGCGTCACTCCATACCAAATTGTGTGTTTGGTTTCTCGCTTCACTCGACTAATTAAAGGTCGACTCTTGTGTCACCGAAAGACGCTTTTCTCGTTTGTGATTTTTTTTCTGAATCCGATTTTTTTACACCTATATTTAAAAGAATTGCAAAATTTTCCGCCCCGTAAATTTGTCGCCAAGGGCCGCGGCCCATGTGGCCTCCCTCTTAATCCGGCCCTGTAGTCAGTTATAGAGTGAATCAATGACTTCTTACGTGCATATAGGTCGATCCTAAGGCGCACACTGGCGTTTTGCGACACCCAAATGCCACACGTGTGGCTATGTATTTCCAAAGGTTATTGGAAAACTAACAACTTAAATAACTCTTCGTCAACGCCAGCCCACCCGCTACTTCTTCATGGGACGATGGTACGTTCCCGTCGCGGAAAATACTGATCGGCGGGCTGATTGGTGAAGCTGATGGACAACGCTATAGACAAAGAGGATATAGGGAGTATGGAGAAATCCCAATGGTTGAAATGGTTGCTTCCCACAGACTAAGGGGGAAAATGATTGACTCACAATAGGGTCTCTCGTGGGTTGCCGTTATTTAGTCTATCGCGCACTTACCTTCTTTGTCCATTGCAACCACCCGCTTCCACTAATAGGATCCTTCCATATTCCATTTGTCTTCTTGGTCTATGGCTCAGTCTATCAATTTCAACAATTAATTAATGATGTCATTAAGGATCTTCATTGAATTTCGTCATGCGTTAAGGAGAGTGAAGAGGAGATTAATTCTGGCGCCGCTTGACGTCTCTCTGTAAGCAGGACTCCTTTATGACAGGTTTTTTTTTCTTAATTTTAAATGTGGTTCAAACTTTGGATATAAACTTACGAAATATGATTTTTTTGAATTACTGACCTGATTTACTTCCATCTCCAATTGGAGTGCAGCTAATACCATGGATTTAGTGTCACCCCATTTTTCTACTTTCGGTTTTAAAACGTCGAAAAACTCAGCCCTGCCACCACGCATGTTTTGAAAATCTAACAACATCGTGGCATGCTCAATCTCCTCCAAATGCGCTGCATGAAAGAACTTTCGGAAACCGGGCAAAGCTACGTCATCCCGATCGAAGTGTGTGGCCTGACCGGAAAAGAAAATTCGTTGAGATTAATATTATAGGTGTGAGGGTTCAAGGCTGCGTAAGGTTAGGCAGTTGACTATGCGTCGCATGAGAAATATCTGCAAAATGGAGGGTGAGAGTGCTGGCTTTGTGGAATCTTAAATGAACATTTAGCAAAACCGAGCTACAATTTCTGGCTCATACATAAAAGCGCCTGTATTCATACGGAAACTGACGGCTGATATGCGGTTTCTAAAATTAACCAGAAAGCGTGGTTTCTTATTGCAAAATGCAGTCCAAATGATAATTGTCGTCTCAGGAGGTGAAATGGGGTATTACTGTTCAACTGAATAAATGGACTGAGCAGTAGGTCACCTAATGAAATGCAGATAAAGACATGGGCAAAGAAGACTAATTAAAAACAGAGCGATCCCATTGATGGAAGCAAGTGGTTGCGATGGACAAGGACGGTAGGTAATGGACTAACGACAACCACCCTAAGATCTTTTAGTTAGTCCGTCATTTTTCTTCTTAGTCCATGACAACCACACATTTCAATCAAGGTCAGCTCCATTTTTCCCCGGTCTATTGATTTATCTATCAACTCAATAATCAGTCCGCAGAGGTGATTCAGCGTTTTCTCAGATGAATTTAAGCTCAATCAGACGAAAGAGAAAGTATTGAAGGTCAACCACCACCGTTAAGAGTTAAAGTTCAATTGAACCACAATTTTGCAATAAAGAACTATAACTACAGTTTCTAATTTCAGAAACAACGAATGTGCCACCTGTTTGCTATACAGATGGGTGTTTTTATGGATGAGTTACCAATTGTAACTCTTTATGGCGAAATGAAGATCCAACTACAGGGGCGTCATTTGGGAGGAACAGGGGGGGGGGCATCGGATGGTTGAATTTTTCAAAGGCCAATTTTCATCGATTTTTTCGGGGACCTACTTGAGATGTCTTAAAGTTTTGTCCGTCGACAAATAGTTCCTCCTCTCAACAGCTTCTGTCCCACCCTTACTCTTTTTGAGATTTTCCTGGAATGATGACAAACAATGACGAACAAAATAAAAAGAATTAAAAATAATTGAAAGACTGCTATCTGTGCACACTAAATGTAGCTCTGCGAGCATTTACATTCTATGTGAACAACAGCTCTCTTACCATTGACAGATACACGTAGCTGGCATATAGCTCCATATTTACTTGGTTGTTGACTGCTTTTTCACATTCTGGATGATAATTTTGACGTTGGACACTTGTGCTTTTAGCTGTAAATTTAGATCCAGGTCTGGCGTGCGAACCTGAGCTGCAGCCAGATTCTTTCTTATCGACGTAAAATTTTGTCGTAGTTGTCGAAAACGGGCTTAGAGGAATGAGAGATTTTAAGACAGGAGGGTTTACTAATTTGCATAATTTTAACATGGCCATGTCGTTGTTTTTCTTTCTTAAACAGAAATTTCTTACTTTTTTTCAAAAATCCAAAGCTTAATCACCAGAACATACTCACTAACCTCCAAGATACAATGGAGATCATATGTTCGTTATTAAACAAAGAGGAAACAAGAGTCGCGCTTTGAATGTCGAGTCGCGTAGCAATCCTCTCTTTCACCGGTGGTAAAGAGGTCTACCCTGATTGGCTGACGACTTCCACCGATTTCTGCAATTGGCTGGTGTGGGCAGTATTAAGCCTTTGCAATACATTAGTGGGTTTTCTATCATGGTTAAATATAACTCGAGAACCAGGATAGTTCACGTGTATTCAAAAATCGTCTCTCGCATGTTTGGAAGAGATTGAATGGCAATGGGTAAATGGGTTCCAATTTATTTTTCGTCATAAATGATAAATTCTTTTTTGAAACTGTTCGAAATGCAGGACAGTTTCCGGGTATTTTCTGTCTTGCGCCTCTTCAAATGTTCTTCATTTAAGGAATTTCGAGAGAGATTTTTCACTAAAAATGGGAAAAAGTGCATGGAATGTGTTACACATCAATTCCTTCAAACTAAATGGTTTCATATGTTGCATTTCTCGATTTTTTAAAAAAAAAAATATTTATATTTTTCATCGATGCAATGAATTATAGAGCCTCTCAACCCAGCAAAATTGTGATGTTCGCATGTTTCCACTATCTTTCTGCAAATCAATACGTAAGAGGTGCACAAAAGGGCCTCCTAATTCATAAATTATGAGAGCTGATTATGTTTTAAAGAAAAGGAAAAAAGTTCAAACGTAAACCACCGCTAATTGGAAACTCTTATGATTCTCTTTCAAAGGATGAAGCGCAGGCGCAAATGCAACCTTCTACCCTTTTGATTCAATTCTTCACGGAAAAAAAAGAGGTAGGGGTTAAGTCCCAACTGTTGGACGATATGAACATTCCCTAATTACTTGTGGTAATACCCCGATTAATTGTGGTAATATCCCGATAAATTAGGTTACTAACCCAAATGTTGCGGTACTTCCCCAACTTGAGTTGCGGTGCTACCGAAATTAATTGGAAATGTCCATATCATCCAACAAATTTGGGTAGTAGAACAATTTTGGGGAATAACCCCTGACACTTTTTTTCCGTGTTGCCTGCTTTATTTAGTGTCGTTTATGTCGTTTTAGTCATTGAATAATCACGGATGCATGGGCAGATACAGACAATATTCGAACAGGAGAGGCTTAATGAGAGTCCTTTGGGCTGCATCCGAAAATTGTCGAAATTTTAGAGCATCCAACATGCAGTTTGAGTCAATTTTTTCATGAATAAGTACCAAGTTCCTCCCTTCTTCTGTCCTCCGTTTCCTCTATTTTTTCTTTCTCTCCGCGGCCGTGCACCCCCTATGCCCTCCCCTTGATCTGCCTATGCACGGATATCGGGAAATCGTCTCTCTCCTTAAGTGCATGCTTCTATTATAGAGTGTGATAAAACTGAAAAAGGTTCATTAGTCCAGGAAACGCACAGTGGATCGAGTCAACTAGAGAGGTCAGACATGCAATTTTTGACTGAAGCTGCAAATTTTGATGTTTATCTCGTCACATTTTAAATTTTGAGAGGTCACTCTGGAAGAAAATTTCACGAGAAAACCAATGAAACCACATTTAGAACCTCACAGTTTTGTACAAACGGAGTTACAAGCGTTTAAAGTTTCCGAATTTTGTCCGACCTATCCTATATTGACTCGATTCCACTTCGCGCCAGGGGGTGGACATGGCACTTATGAACATTCTTGTCCATCTTAGTTTGAATTATAATCTTAAGTTTGACAGTGAAATTTTGTTCGTCGCAATTGTTGCATGCAATTTTTTGACTGAAACCGCCAATTTTGATGTTTATTTCGTCACATTTCATATTCAAGGGGTCCTTCTGCTAGAAAATTTCACGAGGAAACCAATGAAACCACAATTGGACGTATTTCTGCCAAAAGGAACCATGTGCAATATGACGTGAGCCCTGTTATGCATATATCCTCATGAGTTTCAAGGCTCATGTCTCGATGCACATAGTTCCGTGTGGCAGAAATACGTCCAATTAGAACCTTAAAGTTTTGTAGAAACAGAGTTATAAGTGTTGGAAGTTTCCATACTTTGTCCGACCTCTCCTATCGACTCCCACTGTGCAACGACTGGGGCTGAGGCGCAATATTTCACAAATATTTTATCGGTTCCTCCCGAGAATTAACGGCCATTGTTCTTACTTCCCGGCGGCAGGAGCCGCGGCGCGGCGGTTCCAGTCGGAGCGTTCCGGCCGAAAACGATGACAGGATCGAGGGGAATCCGCGAGATGCGCAGGGGGAGGGGGAAGAATTATGTCCGACCGCTGGTGATGTCACGGTGGTTGAGCAAAACGGTACTGGAAGTCGATTCCGATCGGTGATTGCCCGGGCGATCGATCGAAGAGGAGCAGGGAAGACAGGCGTCGCGGAGATGGGTTGAGGCCGCGGGGAGATGGGGCCCAATGGCGAGTGTTGTCACGGCCCTGACTCCCCGCGGAGCAGAACAAATCAGTTGGTTGCGACTCCCGACGCCCGGGTGCTCCCGTGAGGGGGACTCGGAACGAATTGCCATTGAAACGCCTCTCGGCCACTGTCAAATAATCAATCGGGGACCCCGGCCCCGGCCCCGGCCCCGGCTCTGACTCCGGATTAACTACTCAACTGCGACGTTTTGCTTCCTTATTATGTCCCATTGTCGACCTCGCTTTGTCGTTTGTTTGCTCAAGGTGTTGTCGCTGTAATTCGGGACGCGTGGATTTGCCGAGCATCTCAATCTTCCGCTCGCATCCTCTCCTCGACTAGAGTACCTGTACATGCCCGTGCTAAGGAACAACACCGTATGAGCCATCAGGTGTTGCCAAATTTCATTTGGCAAATCACTAGTTTTCAGGACATTTTTCAAATATCTGTCCGCCAATTTTTGGGCTAACTTTGCTTGTAATTTGATCTAAATAGTCTGAAAATTTCAAGGAAAAATATTCACAACTTGCCTCAAAAATGAACATTTTTTGAAATTTTGAAATTTGGCAACTCTCGAATGTTCTTACCGCGTTTTTCCTTAGCACGCCATCAGATGTTGCCAAATTTCCTTCGACAAATCACGGATTTTCAAGAAAATGTTTTAATGTCTCTCCTCCGATACTTCGGATAATTTCACAACGCAATGCTCTGCTCTTTGCTACTAATTTGAAGCACCATTACGAATAAGACAAACACAATACAGAAATAAAGTGAAGGACAGGATGAGCGTTAACGACGGCGCAGAGATACAACTATTCGTACTCGATGGACGTCCGTGCTGCGTCTGGAAAATTGAAGGCGCGATGACGCGAAGCGTGAGCTCTCAATACTCTGCTATATGCTGACGATGAGATGTCGCTGAGATTCGGGAGAAAAGTTAAATAAGAGGCCCGAACACATCTCTCCTACCCTCGGCTGTGTTATCCCCGTAGTTCTTGAAGCACCATTACGAATAAGACAAACGGAAACAAAACCCGGTATTGAAATAGAGGGAGGGAAAGGATGCGCTTTACGACGGCGCAGAGATACAACTATTTGTACTTGATGGACGGCCGTGCTGCATCTGAAAAATTGAAGGCGCGATGACGTGAAGCGTGAGCTCTCAATGCTCTGCTATACATGTGCTGTCAATGAGGTATCGGTCAGATTCGGGAGGAAAGTTAAAAAAGAGGCCCGAATACGTCTTTCCTGTCTTCGGCTGTGTTGATACTCGTTCTTTCATCTTTTTCCAGGTTCTTGTCTAATTCTTTTTAGGATGGATTTGCAGACCCACATCTTAAGCTAGCAGCACTGACTCGGTTCTTTTGGTAATGATGCGGGGTTTGGATGCGTCTCCTGGCTTTACTCTTTTGTTTTCTTTAATTTCAGTAATCTGTAGATTACTTACTCTGTACGATTAATAAACTTTGAACCTAAAAATAGCGTAAAAATGTTCTGTGCCAAAATTTTCTAAACCCCTCTCCACGTAGGGGTTGTCTTACCAGTGAATATCGCATTTCGCCCCTTTAACCAGCCAAGGGTCTACGCCCTCAGATGCGAACCAGTCTGACCCTAATTTGGACACACTGATTTTGGTTCCTTTTATGCTGAAAGGAACTATGTGCACAGGGATTGCGTGTAACATAGTTCCTTTTAGCATAAATACGTTCATTGCATGTCCGGCCTCTTTTATTAGTTTGTTTCACTGTGTGGCGGATCTAGGGAAAGATCAAGGTGTACTTGCTTCCTTTTCCGTTTGCCTGAGAAGTTAGGTAAATGGAGTGGAGGAGGCAAAGAGAAATGATAAAAAGCGGTTCTTTTTTAGCTGGAAACATGGATTTCACCTGTTCGCAGCAATAAGCAATATTCATCTTAGAATTAATTGTAATTTACAGAAAGAAGGAGGAAAGAAAACTAAATTCAAGCATAGTATATTGTCTAGGGAGTAGAAATAAACGGAACGAAGCGAGAAAACGCACAGGACACTTCAGGACCCATATTGATGACCAAAGTTCGAAACCGCGTTACCCCTCTTGCGACTTGGCAGACCTCCTATCATGCTTGATTTTTTCTTTCGAAAACTAGTCAACCCAATTTCTTGAAAATTCCCTTCATGTTTCTTCTCTATCGGTAGAATATTCCGCATTTTCGAGCCATATACTGCCTAATCGCTAATTCGCAAACAAGGACGTGCGAACGGCAAACAAAGGTCTAAAAAAAAAAATATGTATACTGCCGTGCTAAGGAAAAACGCCGTATGAACATCCAGAGTTGCAAAAATTCCTCCGTTAAAATTTTTATTTTTTAAAGAGAGTTATGAATATTCCCTCTTGAAATGTTCAGATAATTTAGATTTGATTACGAATAAATTTGTTGAGAAAGATCGTGGAAAAATATTCGCAGATTTCCCTAAAAATCTATTTTCATCAAACGAAATTCAGCAATTTCTGAAGCTTCACACGGCGTTCTTCCTTAGCACAGCAGTATAACTGACTTGTTCCTTTTCGATAAAATAAAACAGGCGCAGAGATTTTTTAATAA